ATAAAACAAAATGAATACCTAATAAACTTTTTCTTTTTATTAAATAGTAGCAAATTAGCAACTGTTTAACATATAATATTATCATCTGCCGTTTGACATAATCTAGTTTTTAAAATATTCTGTAGAAATGTGGATAATGTGGTCACAGCGTAACTTTATTAGCAGTATGTCAAGAGTTTGTGAATGTGTAGTCCAAACGGTCAATGACCACATTTACTTTTAATAATTCATATTTTATGAACATCAGAATTTAAGCTACTAATTTATGTTACCATAAACGTATAGAAACTTTTGAAATTATAGGATACCAGATAACTATTAACTGCCATATTATAGTTATTAAAGGGCAATTTGGCAACTGCGATATCAACGAATTGTTGGTTTAGGCCTGCGTGTGATGTGTATGCGGAATTTGTGTTTAGTGAACACTTTCAAATTATAAAGGAAATGTAGACTGTGGAGCAGGATTTAAGAAAGTTGCCGTTGATATATTTTTAAGACCACTTGCTTGTTTAGTGTATGATGAATATGGATAGTTTCTGTTAATTATTATAACCAGTCAGTAAAAATGATGTAGATTATAGATTAGACTACCTCGTTGGCCGAGTGGTCGCAAGTGCGACTGCCGGGCAAGGGGTCTCGGGTTCGATTCCTAGGTCGGGCAGAGTACCTATTACTGGGATTTTTAAAAATCTCAGTTGTAGCACGGAGTCTGGAAATGTGCCCGGTTAATGGCAATAGGCTTACCCCCTATTACATGGGACTCATAACATAAATAGTGAAAAGTGGGTGTTAAGTACATTGTACAGTGGCATTTAGAGCCGTAATGTGCACCTCTGCCTAACCCTTCAGGGATAAAAGGGCGTTATGATGTTATTATAGATTAAAAAGTCAGTTGTATGTGATCAATAAAAAGAAATATCTAAATTAGTTTCACAAGTTTATACGCTGTGTATCTTAACGTGTCGGGCACTTTTGCGACGATTTCGTTGACCACAGAATAAATTTGAATAAAATAGTAATTTTCTAATGAATTCCATTTCCCTTAGTTTTTAAATGTAATTGGAATGTGATATTATAACTTAGTTAAACGTTCTGAATCATAAATTTTGAACGTAAATCCTACAATTTTACACAAAACTTGTTAAAAAAAATGTTGCCAATACTATTAATCAACTTGTTAGGCTAGTTAGAAGACGTTAATTTATTATTTTTTCACAGCTTATGTTTAACGTATCACCTGATTTAGTTACACATTACAAATAACAGGCAAAATAGTAAATGATCACCAGAATTCAAACCTCATTTTAATTCTAAACTATAACCAAAATTCCAATAAGAACAAAATGATTTTCAAGCAAATCAAAGTATACCCAAAAATAGTAAAGACCACCAAAATTACAATTACAACCGAACATAACATAACATCACGCCTTTTTATCCCCGAAGGGGTAGGCAGAGGTGCACATTTCGGCACTTAATGCCACTGTACAATG